CGCGGCAGGGTCTGGTTTGTGCCTCTGGAACGTCAGAGACCTGCCGCTGTGCTGCGGTTTGTCCCTGGTGGCTGCTCTGCGTCACGACTGTGGGATCCAGTCACGGGGACCCTGGCTGGTGTCTGGAGGAGCTCAATCTGCGTGTGCGTAGTTGGGCTGTGGCCTTAGACCACGATTCATGCCATAGCGAGGAGCGGAGGGGACTGGACGTAGGTTCGCCTGCTCAGCCCCAAGGCCCAGATTTGTCCTTGACCCACATGAAGCTCCGAGCACAGGAAACCAGGCCACCCGGCCTCCCGTGGCCCAGGGGGCAGCCTAGAGGCTCACCTGGGTGCTGGGGACACTGGGCAGGTGCCCTGTGGCCTCCCCTGGGCTTTCTCCCACTGAGTGACAGCTGCCAACCTGAAGGTTCTGAATCCCGCCACTGCCAAGCGGCCTTGGCGCAAGGTGGAGACGCAGGGTGGGCTGTGGCCTCAGGGTCACCTCCTCATTCAACCCCTGCTGGCTTGGTCAGGGGTCTCCACCGTGGGGCCCTGTGGAGGTCACTGTCCCCGAGCACCCCAAGGGCTGCGTGGCAGGGACCCAGGAGGAGCCCTTGGCTGCACCACACCTGTCTGAAGGTGCTGCTGGGCACCTTCCAGCCGTCTGAGGACCAAGTCCCTGGGCTCTGAGTCCGAGAGCTGGCACTGTGGAGTCTGTGACTTGGATGAGGGAACTGGGCCACTTCCCAGCCACCCCGGGGAGTGGGGCGGCCTCCCCACTGGACGTCTCCATTCACCCAGTCCTCACCCTGGGCCAGCTCACTGCTGGTGGGCTCCGCGGCAGGGCGGGACGGGCTCCCGGGCTCACAGGCGGGCGGGAGTGGCACAGGCCAGAGGACAGAGGGTGCCCAAGGAGACCTGGAGGCTGGGCCAGCGTGGAGGGGCAGGACTGGTGGCAGATGGCCTGGCCCCCGGTGCCTCCCAGGCTCCTCTCCTGCAGAAGAGGGACAGGAGGAGCTCGGGGACATGGCCAGTCACAGGCTCTGACACAAAGGGTGGCATGTCCAGCACGGAGGTCCCCGGCTGGGCTCAGCACCACTGGCTTCTCTGACGGCTGAGGTGCAGAAAGCTCAGAGCCCACCACCCCCGCCCACGGCAGGCTTCCCTCCCTGGCCACCGGGGCCAGGCGCTAGTTGGCCGCAGTGGAGCCTCTGTCCATGTGCCAGCCAGGGCCACCCCTGGCTCCAGGTGGGGAGGTGCGAGACAATGGGGGTTCACCAGCACCCCCTCCCGTGTCAGCCTCTCTTCTTGGCTCACGGGTCCCTCTCCACCTCCGGGTGGCGCATGCTCCACTCCCCGCAGAGGTCTGAACCGTGACCGTGTGACTCCACGGCCCCAGGTCCTCCAGGGTGTCAGCGCCGGGCACGGCACACCTCCCTCACATCTGCGGTGGCACGCACACCCTCGCTGCAGGCAGAAGGGGGCATAACTCAGGCTCAGGTGGCCACCTGTCAGAGACAGGGGCCACAGACGGGGAGCCCAGAGAGCCACAGAATGCCCAAGGAGCAAAGGTGTGGACTGTCATCCGAAGGTGCCCAGCAAGCGCCTGCTCCCCAGGTGTGCCCTCCGCCTCCCTCGCCTGCTGGCCAGGCCTGATCCTGGGGCACCTGGCCCATCGCTATGCCTGTCCTCCCCAGTGAGGTGCCACTGTACCCTGGCGGCAGGTGACACACAGGGTGGCAGCAGGGCCTGTGCCCCGCTCTCTGGGTCAGGACTGGGCTGAGTGGGGAGCACAGTGACCG